CTGAAGCTACTGAGCCCTCCCATTATATATAAAGTCAGTGTCTTCTGGGAGAGCGTATACCCTTCTAAAATGTCTTGCACTGCTAACACTCTTTAAAGTGAGAGAACATTTAATGGGATGTTTATCAACTAGCAAGATTAGAACTTGGAGCTGAGAAATCATACATTTGATCAGTGGAAATGAATGCTTTAAAAAAAGTTACAGGGGAAGGAATGTATGGGCATTGAAACCCAATATCGGTCCCTCCCTCTCTTTCTGAATCCAAATCCTTGGATTCTTTTAAAGGCCTGCTAGTTGAAACAAGAGGAACACAAGATGGATGGTTCCTGTTTATCTGGTGCTAGCGAGTTGACCTTAATAACTGCTTTGTGTTGCTTGCTTATTTATTTGTTTGCTTATTAAACTATTTGTTTATTATTTATTTTGGAAACTGCCCTATCTTCTTCACAGAGAAACACACACACAGAGGCAGTGTGCAAGTAAAATATAACAACATAAAAAAACCATATAAAATTTTATTAGGAGGCGAAGGTAGCTATAATTCAAAGTTAAAAGGTGAGGGGGAGAGTCTTCAAAGCTCCTGTGTTGAACCCCAAGCAAGACAGCAGATCCTGTTCTTCAGACAATTCTGAAAGGCCAGGAGAGTGAGGAACTACCTCACCTTGGGGTGGGTGGGATGTTCCAAAGGCTGAAGGCAATGGCAGAGAAGGTATTCTTCCTGGACCCTGCCAGTTGAAATCCTTTAATTTCAATTTCCCTTCCTTCCTGACCAGTGGAATGGGCTGATGTAATGGGGCAAGGATAGTTATGCAGTTGATCACTTTGGTGAAGACTGATTGTGCTAGTAAATCACAGAAGTGCACTTTTTGTGAAGGAGGGGTTAACAAGGCTGGCATTACACCAGCTATAATAAAATGAGTGGATCTATGTAGCCAAATATTGTTTACAGGTTTTAGCAGCAGAGAGAAAGGTTTCCTTGCCTCTACCAGAAAAAAAAGACATATAAATCAATACTATAAAATTAGTTCATATAGAAACATTTCTTTCTTCTCCATTTGAAGTTCTGAAATTATTCTCTTACTCGGGGTGTTTGTTAATGTTTTCTAGATTACTTCATTGTCTTCTTGATTTTCTTTTCAAGTTTTACTTGTTATTATTTGACATGTTTAAAAAGCATCTCTCCCTGTGACAAATGGCTGGAAAAAGAAGAGCTAGGAAACTTTATAGGATTTCATTCTTTAGAGAACTTCTAAAATACGAAAGAAAAAGGTTGCATAATTTGAATTTATTTTCCACCAGCCATAATATGCAATTATTTTTTTTCCTTTGCTGTAAAAATAAAGTATGTTTCTCATTGTAACTTTATTGCAGAGGTTTTATTACCACTACAGCAGTTGAAAAGTAATTAAGTTTAGCAGTTGGAAATGGACTTTTCACCAGATATGAAAGAAATTCATACAAAACCTTAGTAAAACCTCATTTAGAATACTGCATCCAGTTTTGGTCACCACATTATAAAAAAGATGTTGAGACTTCAAATGTTGAGACTAAAACATATGAAGAATGGTTGGAAGAATTAGTCTAGTCTAGAGAAAAAGACTAGGGGTGATATGATAGCAGTGTTCTAATATTTGAGGAGTTGCCACAAAGAAGAGGGGGGTCTCCTGCTTGAACAGGGGGTTGGACTAGAAGGCCTCCAAGATCCCTTCCAGCTCTGTTCTGTTCTATTATATTCTATTCTAGATCAGCTGAACAACAAACTGGGAGAGTGGAAGGATTCTTATGTGATTTTGTGACTTTGAAGTTCTGGGATTTGTGTAATGTGGGCTTTGTGTTCTTAAGGAATGTTTGGCAATTTCTATTATGGCTGATGGCTCGTGTTGGATTTTGGGGTGAGGGGTTACTGGTTCTAATTCTATTGCTCTGCTATTGTTAGCTGTAAGTTTTGCTCCAAGGGATTTTGAAGTATTTTTGTCCTGAATGGATTTTGCCTGTAGCATTCGTTTACTTATGAATGGAGCCATTTGGGGAGGCTGCCTTAGCCAGCAGCAAACTTTTCTTTCTAGCCAGTAGTTAATTCTTAAAGGGGATGTGCCTTTTTAAGCTAGTTCCCTCTGCAGTTTGTCTTTTCTGTCTCTGGAGGCTTTTCCTTGTTTGATAAATATGTGGAAGAGGGAAAATATGGGGGGGGGGGTTCAAATTCTTTCTTCAGAAGGAAGGAGATGGGAATGAGAAAGAGGGAGGCAGGGAAGGAGGGAGGGAGGGAAACAGGAAGGAAGAGAGGAGGGAGGGAGATTGGAATGAAAGGGAGGGAGGGTCTGAAGGAAGTCCCGCCTTAGCACTCGGCTACCAGCAGCCCTGCCATTGACTTTGCTTGTCAAAAGGTTGCAAAAGGGGATCACATGTCCCTGGGATACTGTGACCATCATAAATACGAATCAGTTGCCAAGCATCCAAATATAAATCACATGACCCTGGGGATGCTGCAACGGTCATAAGTGTGAAAAATGGTCATAAGTCACTTCAGTGCCATTGTAACTTTGAACAGTCACTAAGCGAATTGTTGTAAGTCGAGGATTACCTGTACTTTATCACTTTTTTCCTTTTTTTTTTTTTGGACATCAAGTTTTTGACACCTTGCTAGGTGGTAATCGAATATTGCCATATCCTAAAAGTGGTACAGTCGGTGAAAAGGTTGAAAAGCTCTGGACTAGAAGACTTCCAAGGTCCCTCCAACTCTGTTATTCTATAACTTTGAAAAGCACTGGTCTATAATATGGAGTGGGTTTTAGAAAGATTTAGTGCAACCCTGTTAACTTGATATAGACATGGAATACATTGCAATATTTGGAGGTACTGAACTATGTCAAGAGTTCCTCAAACAAGCCAACCGACACAAAGCAAAATCCATTGAGCACTATCTAGTTTAAAAGTCACAGCATGGTATGGCATTCCTATTGCAGTCTGGAAAGAACCCCATGGGGCAGTTGAGAAGGAAAGCCACACAGTGTGTAGCACTAAAATCTAAAGAGCTGAACCCCAGAAAGAACATTTATCCGATAAAATATGCTTGAGTAGGCATGGCTCCTATCTTTAACTGCAAATTCAGATTATGCTTGCTAACCTAGGAGGCAAAATGCTATGCAGCCAAACCAAATTGAACATTATTACTTTGGGACTGAATGTAAAATGGATTTGGGTGGAGGAAAAATGAGTGTTTGATTCTTTATGCAGAGAGATCTAAGTGACATCACACTGTGAGACCGAAATTGCAAATGCTTCAGTTCTCAGTCATAGAAAAAGCACAGACTAAGCTATAATTTTTGGCCTTGGCAAAATCAAAATGCTTCAATACCACATCTGACAGAACTTTGTAGTAACTTAATTCATCTCTATGCCAGTCATTAATACAACCTATTTGTACAATGCTTTGTGGAGGCAGTCTGGTTTTGTGGTATTAAACAGATGGTTTTAAATTGGGAATGTGGCTGCCTTCAGTTTTTTTAAGCTTTGTCTTAACTTGTCCTTTGTTCATTAAATATTGAGGCTAAAATCCAAGCACTTGTGGCCTGAGATGCTGTTGAACTCAGTATATTTTAATTTCTGAGTAGATATGGCATAGCTACTTACAATGATAAATAAATATATAAATGCATGCTAGGTTCAGATACATTAGTCACCATCTCTTAAAATGATGGGCAAAGGCAAGTTAAGTTGTCTTTGTTACTAAAATCCCTGCTGAGCAGAATGGTGCCTTAGATTTTTATTTCTAGTTCCAACGAGTTATTGGTAGGTCTTTAAAACTTAATAGAATTCTGCTTGATTATTCATTTTCATGCAACAGGATTAGTCTCAGCTGGAACTCAAGTTTGATATATATTGGCAAAGTTATCTAAAGAGCTGGTAGGGCTTTTTTCCCCCATGGCTCCATCTACCAGTTGTTAATCCTTCCAAGATGAAAGCATCATTCTAGTATAAAGTAGAATCTTCTAGTGAGTTTCTCCTTAAAAGAGGCAGTGTGGGTAATACAAAGTTTTGCTCCCATGTTTAAAACAAGTTCCTGCAGTAGAGATCATTCTGTATCCCTCTGTATATTCCCTGGAAAATGAAGGGCCAAAAATTTGCAAGGAATCTTCACAGGTAAGTAAAGAATCTCCCAGGTACAGACTTATTCCACAATATGGAAAGGTGTGAAGTATCATGCTAGGGGCTAAATAAGTGGTGTGGAATTTGTTGCTGTCCATATATTATTGAATGTCAGTTCTGAGCCTGCATGGATAGTAGTGAGGCAAGCTTGTTATATCAGCAAGATTTGAATGGCAAAAGGTTTTCTATTCTGAGCTGGGTATGGGTATCATATCCTTTTTTCCCTTTTTTTTGTGCCATTGTGCCTGGCAAGTGCCTGGAAAAATCCCTACAGTTTTCTTGGCAAGGTTTCGGAAGTGGTTTGTCACTGGCTGCTTCCTGGGGTTAAGAGAGCGTGACTAGTCCAAGGTCACCCAGCTGGCTTCATCCCTAAGGCAGGACTAGAACTCACAGTCTCCTGGTCTCTTAACCACAACCCCAAACTGCTTCTCATATCATGTCCATATTGCCTCTTTACTCCAGGACCTGATCAGAGCATGCATGTTGCTTATTTTCAGTACTCTTATTCCTGAAGCCCCTATACTGACATAAGCTTGCTCATAGGGAAATATCTTTTTAAGAAAGGAGATGTGCTGTTTTATTCCAATTAGGCATAGAAGTTGCAGTCTACAGTTGGGAAATCAAGATAGGCGAAAAGATGCTCTTCTTTGACTGTCTCTTACTGTAACTCATTCTCTTTCCATACATTGACTATCAGCCATTAATCTTTGAGCTTTCTACCTTGATTTGGCACTGAGCAATAGACTTTTCTACTGTCCTGCATACCGCCATTCCCTCAATTAAAATTCACAGTGTGTAGCCCAAACAAGCAGCGCTGTTGACAGTTTATTTTTTTCCCCCATCTCTTTTCACAGAAACTGAAACAGAAGAATCAACAGCTGAAGCAAATCATGGATCAATTGCGGAATCTCATTTGGGACATAAATGCCATGTTAGCAATGAGGAACTGAATATGTTTTCTTTTCTTTCTCATTATAATATTTGATGTTATTTGTTACAGAAGAATAACTTTTTAAAGAAGACTTGGAGGGGGGAAGGGTATCTTATTCCCCCCCCCAAATGTTTTGAAACAGCAAGACCCACAGGTATTCGATTGTACCTAAAATAGTCATGTATATATTTGTTATATTTTGGTTATGTATATTTAAGCCTTGAAGTTCTAGGCAGCGAATAAATTCAATGTGAGCTTTAATTTTCAGTCCAGACTGGACAACTTTTATTTTTGAGGTTTGGTCAACAGTTTATTTTATGTTAAATAGTATAAAGTTATTTCATGAAGAAAAGCAAAGGATAGTTTTCTTAAAGAATGCATTCTTGTTCTCAACAAGAAGTGACCTGGAACAAGTCGTGTAATTCTGGTTTCACCATCATTTAAAAAAAAACAACAATCATAAAACATATTTCCTCAGGCAAGGGGTTTTAAATTTATAATTAAGCCATGAATGTTAGAATGTACTAATCTGCATGACCAACTTACTATTGATGACAAAAGCCAAGCACTCAAACAAGAAAAAGGAAAATAGCAGAAGGGTGAATGTTTTATGTTTAGCAATGGTGGATAGGATTTAAACAAAAATAGTTTTTTTTGGTCTTAATTTAAAATAATTTCCAGCATTGCTAAACATAAAACATTCACCCTTCTGCTATTTTCCTTTTTCTTGTTTGAGTGCTTGGCTTTTGTCATCAATAGTAAGTTGGTCATGCAGATTATCAAACAAACAAATTAGTGTAATTCTGGTTTCNCCCCCCCCAGGGTCACAAAAGTTTCAGAACAAAATACTAGCTTCCATCAACCTACCACCTTGATATCTTAAAAATGATATTTTTTTCCATGACAATTGATAGATGGCATCCTGCCTGGCCTTAATAAATACATTCAAGATTGCCTTCTTAATCAGATGCCTTTTAAAGGGCCTAACACTAGTTTGGTAGGACTTTATTTTCTTTGATATATTTTTTAAATGTGTTGAGTCCTTTTCCCCTAAGGAAAAAAAATATTGCTATGTATCTTTTATAGTATTTCTGTTGGGTTCTTTTTCTTCTTCGTTTTGGTTCTTTCTAAGATGGTGACAACTTTCTTTCAGGAGTCCTAACCAGCTAGAATGCTTCCTTTTTAAGAGCTGTTAGATGAGAAGTTGTTGAATCTGCTGACACTTCCTTCTGACTAGTGAGACACAGAGATTGAAAACCAGTTGGACAGCACAAGTGTGGAATGAAGACCATCTCACTGTTGTCCCTTGTTACCAAAATCCCAGGTTTATTGGCTTATGGAATGTGGGAATTCTATTCAGGTGTCATCCATTTATTGGAACTCATAATTCATTGAGATGTGTTCTGTATGTGTTGGGGTCCAATCACTGTCATCCCTAAATAGCTGTCAAGGTTGGTGGAAAATATAGTCCTATCCCTATAGAATGTACCAAGTTGAAGCAAACAAATGCCAGCCATTGTTTAGCAGGCATTGTGATTTGTACCGAAGCTTTCACAGCCTAAGAAGCCAAACAGTTAATTTGCCAAGACAAACCTTTATCTTATTTGAGGGTGAAAACTGGCAGCTGATATATTTCTTCAGTTGTTTAAAAAAGATGGCGTGATCAGGGGAAAAAAATCCCCCTATTTGCAACTAAAGTATATACAAATCAAACTGTCTGGATGCTATGCCTGGAAGTGCTGTGGGAATTTGCAAACAAACCCTCTGACAACTAATTTTATGGAATCTGAAACAGCTAAGGAAGTAATGAAATAGCAGACAAAAATAAATGATTCTTTTAAAATTGCCATTAGGTAACTTGGCTATTTAAACCTACAATTATTTACTCAGAACTAAGCCTCCCTGGTTCCGGTGGGATTACAGCTAGAGAAGGTGTTCTGGATTGGGTCTTCTTTCATATTTATGGGAAATAGAAAGAAGGAATCACCTAGGGCAGAACTCAAAATGTTAATAAAGCAGTAGCTCCGTTGCATTCAATTGCAAACTTTTTAGATTTATATCAGCATAACTGGGAGCAGAATTTGACTTCATTTGTTTATTCATAAGGCACAGATCTTACTAGACAAAGAGCTATGCATTTCCAGCTAGTCTTTTTATGTTTCAAATGCTAACGGGATAAGATTGCACAAAAAGCATAATATGTCTGGAACAAGTGCACCCATTTATTTGTTTGTTTCATTTATACTCTTCCTTGCCCTCCAGAAGCTGCAGGCAACATGCACTGTATTAGTTTTCCTGTAGTTTTCCCTATGACATCAATTCTGTGGGTTCAGCTAGCCAAGAGTAGGAGACTAGGTCAGTCACCCAGTGAGTTTCCATAGCTCAAAGTGGATTTGATTCTGGTTTCTTCCAGTCTGTGTACAACACCTCCATCACTCTCCCACACTGGCTCTCAATATCCCTTCTTACACATCAAAAGGGATCGTTAATGCAGAAGTCTAGGCCTTGTGATTTGAATCTATGCAATGATTGTGAATAATGAAATGTTTCAATGGGATATAAATTCAAGAGCTTCTCTGAGCTTGATTGTTTGCTTTCAGAGGTATCCTTACCCAAGTGGGTAACTTTGTAACACCATCAACACTGATGATGTTGCCTAGTCTGGTAATGACCCATCTATAAGTAAACAACCAAACTCAGAGAGGACCAAGGACCCCATAATTCAACCCTGATCTATAGATAATCTCTTCTATTTTTGTAGTTTGCTGATAAGGCTTAATGAGTTCACTGTTTCACTACTTTGGCTTGAAAAGTCTTTGGCCTCAATAGTTTTTTCAGCCTGTTTCTACTCAACAAATCAAGCTAAAGACATAAGTGTCTGCGTTTTGTATTAATTTTACCTATGGATATCTAAAAACAATACGCTGGGTCAATAGTAAAGAATAGCAAAAGTTTTGTTTAATAATTTGTGGACCCATGACCTGTATTCATTCCATCTTTTTTGCCAAATGTGCAATAATGCAATCTGATGAATGCCTCTTCAGTTATTAAACTTAGTGGGTCTTGCTTTCAGGTAAGTCTTACAAGATTACAGCCTCAAACTATGGTTTCATACTAAGATGAGATGTGTGCTATGGTCAGAATACTCCAACTGAAGCCTCCTGGCTTTAGATGTCCATTGACCCTTAATGTGTACTGATCCATTGAATCAGTCGCTGCGTCACAAGAATGGAATGGATTACTTTGAAGTTGCTTGCTTGAAGGGCAAAATCTAAATGGAATAAACAGAGCTAGAGCCAGTTATTCTGGTTTTGAGAGGTGGCTTTTAAGAGATTCCATCATAATAGCAGAGAATTGCCATCATGCTGCGGTAAGAAGACTAATTACTTTCTATAGCAGGAATGTCCAACTTTGCCAATTTTAAGACTTGTGGAATTGAACTCCCAGAATTTCCCAAGAAATTCATAGGAAATTCTGGGAGTTGACATTCACAGGTCTTAAGGCTACCCAGTTGGATGCCTCTATTCTATAGAGAGGCTTTAGTTGCATTCCCATAAAAAGTTTGTTGTGTTTGGCAACCATCTACATGTAATGTGGCTAATGGAATGTTGACTTGCTCTATGTTCCTCTCTGGACTTTTATCTTTTCTCCAGAATTTTTTCTTTTCTTAATGTATGAGGTTTTGTTGCAACAGCAATACAGTATCTTATTGACAGCAGTAGCCTCTATTCCTCTTTGCAAAACTTGGAGGCTAAGACCTATGGAAATTTCTCTGATTGGTTCTAAGCTCTTTTGGTTACTGCCATCAAATCAATCTCCCTAAGCCTTACAGATAATGGCAGTCTGCTTTGAGATGGAGAATATAGTTTCTTAAGACAGTTATTCACGGGCAAGCTACTTATCAACTAGCAGCTGCAACCCATGTTGCAGAGTTTCATATCCATGTTGAAGTAGCCAAAGCAGGCCATTGACTTCTTCAGAACTAACGAAGGACTGTTCTCAAAACCCAAATGTAGCAAATGAGTCTTATTTCCAAACTCAGAACATGAGAGACCACAAAGCATAGCTGGCTCAGGAATTCTGGGAGTTGAAGTCCATGAGTCATAAAAGAGCCAAGGTTGCCTACCCCTGGTATAGGGTTTCCTGCTTGAGCAGGGGGTTGGTTTAGAAGACCAAAGTCTCTTTCAACTCTGCTATTCTGTTATTCGAGCATACAAAAACTCTGGACAGTCCATACCAAGGACTGTTTCCACTATGGCCAATTAACTGCCTATGGAAAGCCCAAGAGCAGGATCTGACAGCAACCTCAGCGTTCCCTAGCAACTGGTTATCAAGAGGCCTTCCCATTTTGAGAAGCAGTTATTGAAAGTCTTTTTTTTCCTCCAAGAAATATATAAAGCTGCTTCGCACAGAGCCACACCATGATTTTCCACTAAATGACCCAGTTTTCCAAGAATTTAGACTAGTTAAATCTGGAACTTACATGTAGCCCCCTTCTGTACGTTGAGCTATACCTAGGAAAGTGTAAAAAAGAAAAGAAAAAAAAGGAATCACATAACTCAGAAGCTACAGAGCAGATTAGGTTCAGAAGTGTTCCTAGATCTGCAAAGGTTGGAAATTACTGTCTACTTTTGAAAAGGAAGAAATGAAAATTCAAAGTAATTAATAGCGTTTCCAGAGGATTTTGTAATGCACATCATTGTAAGATCTATGAAGTCATTACAAGACTTACAAGGTACAAATTAGCTCCTGTGCTGGTCACTAGGATGCTGTCAGAACCATTCAGTTTAATTTTAAAATCTAAAATAGATTTTGCTGCTTGTCTCTTAGCCTGTTAACACCACTGTCATCACAACAAAGCTGTCCATCCCTGTATGTCCCAATTCATTTCTTCTGTAGAAATGGACAGTCTCTCTTGGTGCATCTAGATTTTGAAACTGCAATCCGTTTGGACTAAAGAGTGGGAAGGTGACAGGATCAACTGATGACAATTTCAAAAAGCAGTGCTGTCTTTTCCTTCACCGGGTCTGCTTTTTTGTTGTATCACACAAACTCCCCTGTTACTGGGTTAATGGGATATGGCAGAAATGACAGAAAGCATATTATGAATTATTAGGGGAAAAAAAGCTTAGCTCTGGAGTTCTTTATTTTTAATTTTTGTGTGCCTCCATCTTTTTTCACATCAGGACTTGGATGCCTTCCTTTTTTAAAACATTTTTTTTTAAAGTTAGAAATGGTCTAGTTCAGTCTGGATCTTTCAAGAGGAT